CGTGTGTAGTGTGTGTGTGTGTGTGTGTGTGTGTGTGTGTGCGTGTGTGTGTAATATATACATATATGTAAAACCTCAATTATAAAAATTGTCAAATAAATTTCGTGGTTTTTAAAGACTCGGAATGCTCTGACGTATATTTTTAATACTTCATAAATATTATACAATTCTACTCGTGAACTTTAGCCTTTTAAATATCTTTATTTATTCTTCAGTTAGCTTGCAGCAAATGCTTTCCCTTTTGTCGTAACTATCGCTTGTATTTTCTCCTTTACACGGGAAACTTTTGCACGATTATGTCGACAGCTTTCAATACGTTACACGGCGAAGCTCGTGTATATGTATATAGACATCGAGCTATTCGGTAGCACACCACTTGGTAGTGTTTCGAAACCTTTTTCTTGGCATATTTACACCAAAGACTATACATTCTCGCATTTAATACTGAATGAATCGAAGTCTTATCGAAAAGCCTATACCTCCATAGAAAAAATTTCTTACTCTTCTCAAATTTCTAAAAATTATTTTCAAAGAAACCTAATAATATAGTAGTAGTTTATTGTACTTCATCCCCTTGGGGGTTAGAAGGGGGTTTTACACTTTTATACAAAAGAACAATAAAGAAAATTATTTTCAAAGAAACCTAATAATATTAAATGCACGTTACGTTTTCTGTATTGTCAGAGCGTGGAAAAAAAAATTATCCTTGCTAAAAATTTTTTGAAAAATTATTCTCGAACAAAGGAACTATAAAGATCTCAAAGAAACCGGTTCAGATATGTTAATTTTAATTTTTTTATATTGATTATAAAAATCGCGTAAATACTGTTGTTTCGAGCTAAAATCAGATTTGCGTATTTAGCGCTAAATAGTTCCAAACGAGATTCGGCACAAAGTTACTTGTTTTCGTGCGGGATAAGATGGTGGTCACGGCGGTTAGGACTACTTTATGAACCTCAAGCGTAAGTTTCCTTAGCCTTTATGGCGCAGAATTAGGACGGTAATTTGTGTCCATGGCATCGTACCGATGCGGACAAGTAAATGTATCGCGTGCCCGGGGATGCTCATCGCGCAGCGGGAAGTTTAACACAATTGTGACCGTTTGAAGATCTTGTTATAAAGTGGGGGAAAAAAAGAACTTCGTTTCCGTTTAGTGGAAACGTCTAGTAAAATAACTATATTCTCGTCACATCGTTTTGTCCATTCTAAAGAAAATCTAATTTAGCAGTTAACTGTTTTGTGTTGAAAGTTAGGAACATTTGGTAAATTAAAACGCGCAGAATTACACAAGTACAAAGTCCAATTTTTTTCATTACGCTTGCAAAAATTCCTTTTTCTTCACAACTGTAATTTGAGTAATATGTATGAAAATGAGTACGGAAATATTAAAAAGTTAAATAAAATAATTGTAACGACGTGTGGCTTTTAAATCTTAAACATTAGATTTAAATTTTAAATCTAATGTCCTTTTATTATCCGCTAAATTTTCCATGTCCATACAATTCTCTTTATTTCCAGTTAACTTATAAAATTTTAATTAAATACTTGAAGCAAAATAAAACTTAAGTTATATCGCTTAATATCAAATAAACAAATATGAAATAAGTAACACAATACAGGTATTGCTTAATATCGTTGAAACTTACGGCTGTTAAAAGTTAATTTTAGAGTCAATATAATCGGCATGTACTGATATTTACCAAGTGAAACAATATTTCTCGGCGGTTTATTATCGCAACTTTAACCGAGAAAGCTGAAAGTCGATATTGGGTGTAACATTTTTCGAGCTTTCGCCTCGAGCGCTGGTAAAATTATTAAACTTGTCTTGGCTATTCCGAGATAGTTTCCGCAATAATAAAACTTGTTTCAACGTGGGCAGTCAATATCAATCTTGCGGCTTAACCCGCGGGGATCCGAATCCGCCTAATCCGCATAATGGTTATAATCGGTCGCTTAAATCGGCTTACGTCCATGCTCATGGCAATGAGAGTCTCTAGCGATTTTCGGAGCGCTTTTTAAGCGTCGATCAAGTAAGTTTGCCAATGTTTACTCATTCTCTTTGCCAACGGATAATTAATGTAGAAATTAGAGGATTACAAAAAAGAGAACTTCTCAAAGTAGAAAGAATATTGGATATATACAATATATTCAAAATTTACAAATCAAAGAAATTTAATTCAATGTCTAACAAGTAAATGCCTTAGCAGTTTTAGCAGCCATTTCAGTTATCTCCATTAAATTTTAATTAATTAAAAATTACTCTTAAATCCCTTCCCTAAAATATAAGATCTCTTTCTTATAGCTACAAAAAGATTTATTGAAAATATTATTTTACTATTTCTTCACATGAATCTTTTACGTTATTTCAGACCCGACATAAACGCGATAAGAGCGTTAACTTCGGCACAACCAGGAGCGGCAAAAGGTGCTCCTGCGGTCGCTGTTACCAGGGTTGCGGCCGAAGAACGTGAATTACCTAGGCAAGGAAGTCTGGTCGATGGGGAAGGCATAAAGATCGTTATTCATGACGTCGACAGCGATCTTGGTAAGCCTTATTTACGGGAATATTTTTAAAAATAATACAAGCATATATGTACACATATATATATTAATTTTTCATCTCTGATGTTACTACCTTCTTTTCATTGATTCTCTATTATTTCCTAATATTTTTCTATAATCGATAATTTTCACAAAAAATGTAGAAATTAGAGGATTTTACATTAGAAAATTCTATATATGGAAACCATAACTTATTGCCATGCGCAAAACAATATTTTTACACGCCATGATTTTCCGTCTTTGCGTTCTGTACACGGAAAGAACAATTTTGCTGAATCCAGATCTGAAGATAATTTTTGTTCGATAATCAAAATAATTTTGTGCACAAGTCAAAATGATTGTTAGAATATTAAAACGTTTTATAGCAATACTTATATATCAGTTTTAACATTCCAACACAAATTACTTTGATGATTCAACAAAAAATTATTTTCAGATCTGTTTTCAGCAAAATTTTTAGACCTTTCAACAAAATCGTTCTTTCCGAGTAAAAATAAATTTTTTTTAAATACTATTATAGATTATGCAATAGATAAAAATATGTAAGACTTAACGTTTATCTAACTTTCCGCGGGTGATTTTACGCCTTGTTGAAGAAACCCAGGGTACACCGACAGAAAAACCGCTCTGCTATGAGTGCAAACGTTAGCATTATGCGAAAAAAGAGGTACAAGAAAAAAAGAGTGCGTTTGATCGATCGAGCTACGGGCTTGCCGGGCGGTGATTCAATTCCGCGGGTAACATCGGTTTCAGTTAACTCCTGAGGTTTTTGTCCTGCCAGCGGTGAAATGCCGTTAATTAAGAATTGGGAATTTAATTTCGTATAGGCAAATCCGCTCTGTCGTTCGAAAGAGGAACCCGAAGTATCGAGTTCAAATTCCAATTAATTTGCTAAACGGAAAATAACAAAGACAGTCTTTGTACAGGATAGCGACACATTCAATGTTAATTATTGCGCGCTATCCGTTATTAGCGTATTCGGAGATCGGCCTCGGTTCGCGCGCGACTTGCTTTTAACAGAATCACTCTTCCGCATATAGGAGTGGCGTTACAATACATAACCAAGATCGATGATACGCGTGCGTCGATACACGGCAGAATCTTCCTCTTGCCAATAAATGAATACAGATTATTTTTACAGAAAAATAATATATTCTCACAGCGAGATTGCGCGAAGATAAATAGTCTTGTTGTATAAAATACCATTAAAATGCATGGCATATAACGAGGGATTCTTATTCAAAGAGTTAAGATCGTGGCCTGCAATTTGCTTGAGAGACAGACATTTCCTCTCTTTTTCGTTTTAAATATATATTAACCGAATGCGCGAAGCGAAAAACGTGAGATCATAATTCAGCTTGACAAATTTCCCTTTTTTTATTATTCGAAGGAATCGTGCTGTAGCTCGCTGGTTCGACATAGTAGTTCGCCTGCACGGATTACCGAGCTAAGAGCATCTCAATTAAAGCGCGCTTCATATTCTTATTTCATGTCTGTGTTCTGAGCTTATATTACTGCAGAAAAGAAGCGTATTTAAACGCGCTTAATCGATCGTTTTCTCTGCTGCAATCCTCGTGCTGTAAACGTAATTGTAACAAAAAGCGAAAAAGCTTGATTATCCGATCTTTTAAATATGAAAATGTTATTCAATGAGGTATCAAAAGATATTAAATGCCTTATACAATTTAAGTTGAAATATTAATGCTGAAAATATTTTATAAAATTATTTGATGTAAATTATTTGATGTAAAGTAAGTGCAATAGTAATGCTGATTCTTATGTTTGAACATTCGATAATGATGGACATGCAGCGTAATTTTCAAATGTTTAAATTATCGTTAATGAACACATAAGATCAACAAATAATTTTTAGCAAAATAATTTTATCATCATTAGAGACGAGAGGCTAACTTAATTCGGTTTCACAATGCACTATCTTTTTATTATAGCTGACCTAATTTTTTAAATCTTTCTATAAAAAGCAGCTATTTTCTCATCATATTTAATTAAAATTAAAGGAAAATCATCTTTTGAAGCAATTCAAACACTGATTTAATAAACAGATTAAATCTTTAATATATTAATTTCATGAAACATGCATAAATATATCTTACAAAAGGAAATTATTCAAAATTTATTCAATTAATAATTTTTACATCTTATACAATATTTATAATAATTTTCGAACATGTCTCTCTTCTCACTCGTATATATTTCATCATAAAATATTTGAAATAATGACTTGTTCTAACATTCAAATATACGTATATTATTTCACATCTGCAAAGTTTTGGAACTATGATCGTTCAATTGATAACGTAACACACAAAATCACGCGGAAAATAAAAGTAATTTTTTCACACGGCAATACCGTCTCTCGTCTCTCATCGCGATTATAAGAAATTGACGGGCGACACAGCGGACGCTTGAATGCACGCAAGAAGCACTTGGATCGCTTCCAACGCTTACGGTTTGCCGAAGATATTATCGCGCGAGACCACTCGGCGCAGTATTTTCCTCTTCACTGTGCGGGTCACCGGCTGCAAAAACGGACCGTTTCATTTTTCTCGCCCGGCAGGCAATTCCCCCGCGCGCGTAGGTCCGCGCGCAATATCGATTGCAGTCGCAGCAGTTATCGCGATCTGACACGCCATGCGAGAGCTACGTGGGAATCGCGATCTGTTCACGTGTTCATTAACGGCATGTCGATCGGAAGGCAGATTAGGCCATCGTCTATCCCGCCGATAAACTGCGATATTGCAACAAACTGCGTATGAGATGGTGCGAGAAACGCGAGAGGGTTGAGAGAAAGAGAGAAAGCGGATCGAAGAGAACATGCGGAGAGCTAGGCAGAGGTGCGAAAATAACATGTACCTTTCATGCTAAAGTGATTGTAATTTTACCATGTCCGCCGCGACGGCGGATAACGTAGTTTGCACAAAGAGTCGTTTGTTTGTTGAAATCGTTAGTGGGTCACGTAATTGATTTACGTCTTGTGAGGAGAGAGACAGGATCTCTCTCTTTCTCTCTCTCTCTCT